ACTGTGTTAGTTAAAAATCCATACCGTGTACGGGTTCTGGGAAGTCGGGGGGGGGGGGGAGGGGGGGGGGGGGGGTGGGGGGTGGAGGGAGGGAGGGGCACACACAACAAAAAAAATGTACTTCAATGTCTTAATGATTGACAAATGATGACATATTTGTGTTTTTTTAAAAAGAAAAATAAAAAAGTTCTGTTTAAAAAAAAAAAGAAAGAAAGAATGGATGGGAATGAGATGAGGGAAAACAGAAAAAAGTGATTGGTTTATTTAGAAGTCCAAAATTAAATAGACTAATGATTTGTTTAGAAAATGTCTGTTTTGAAGACATGAGTCTATATGCATACACATGTCTAGGAATAGATAGGAAGATGATTAATTTTATTCCGTGGTGAAATGGAAAAAAATTGCTACTGGTTCTCTGGGAGTGGATTGGTGGGTGTGGCTTGGTGAGGGGGGCTCATGTGACTGGATGGGCGTGGCCAACTTTTTAAAACTTTTAAGGCATTTTTAACTACCTATTCACCCAAACTGATAGTAAAAAATGCTTTAAGAAGTGGGGGGGGGAGTTCAGTTGTGCTGTGTAATCGTGGGAACCATTTTTTTCACTTTTTAAAGCATTTCAGTTTTTTATTATCAGTTCGGGCGAATAAGTAGTAAAAACATTCTTTAAAAAGTGGATAAAAACGTTCCCACGATCGCAGGGCACAGCTGATTTTCATGGAACCCCTTTTTTCACTTTTAAAAGCATTTTTTTCCTGCCAGTTTGGGCATTAGGCAGGAAAGAAATGCTTTAAAAAGTGAGGGGGGGGGAGCTTCCGACAATCGCACAGCTCACAGCTGATCCACGCGATCATCAGAAACTTTCCCCCCACTTTTTAAAACATTTTTTTCCTGCGGGTTTGGGTGAATAGGCAAGAAAGAAATGCTTTAAAAAGCAGGGGGAAAGCTTCCGGCAATCCCACGACTCACAGCTGAGTTACCAAAAAGCCCGAAAGGCTGTGAATCTCACCAAAGATTAACCACATAATAATAATAATAATAATAATAATAATAATAATAATAATAATAATAATAATAATAATAATAAT